CCTAGGAAAGCCTGCAGTCTAGAAGTAAATACCTAGTGGCTTACAAATATATTTGCAATGACTCTTGGAGTGATAATCCAGTAGAATAGAATTAGCTTTTTATCCTTGGTGTACATATTTTTAAATGTCTCAAAGCAATGCAACAGTGAATCCTAATCTTTGTTTTGTGATTCCCAAGATGCCTAAAAAACTGCAAATATTCAAAAAAATATGTTTAATTTACTGACTATTTTTAATAGGCTTTATATATGGCTATTCTCAGAGAAAGAGATGATCTAAAGAGCAATCATAGAGCTCAATTTAAAAACATTTAGAAAGCACTGATATAAAATGTAATTGCTCTTCTTCTATACCAAAGAGATTGGGTTAAATGTTAAAATCCAAAAGAAACATATTCACTTGTGTCTTTTTTCCCTTAACCAAATAATTACATAGGTCACTTTTATGAAAGTACTCTGCATAAACATCATCAACTCTAAATTTATGAATGCTATAAATTCTCTGAATCTATGATTCCATCACTTTTTTTCCTAGTAGCATTTCTAGTGAACACATCATGTTTTTACTGTAGATGAGGAGAGGGGGTGGTGACCAAATGTTCATTTCACTTGAGTTGCTTCTGTGATAGGGACTGTATCATACAATGGAATCTATCCTTTCTGAAGTTCTAAATCTATTGAAAATAAGATTTAAATGCAGGTTTGTGGATTATCATCACATCACCAATACATATTCAGTCTCTTTTCCATCCAGTTTGCATGCAACTTTTTTTTTGTGTGCTGGACACAGGCAAGTGAAATTCGATTACATCACCTACATTTCAATCACTTACATCTTCTAGGGCCACATACAAACTTTTGTAAACACTGTTTCCTTTTTCTTTTAATGTTTTCTGTTTACATGAGACACTTGCTATTCCCTTATTTATTTTATAAAAAGTAAATGAAATTACTAAGTTATTCAAACTTGTTTTCTTTATTTTATATTGTTGTACCTATTTTTGTTCCTATTCATCTTAAACTTATTAGTAACTTATTTCAAAGGAAAATAAATGTAAAATAGCATTCACTTATTTGAACAATTAATGGAGCAATGAAGAATTTCAGGTATAATAGCATTTATGGATATTCAGTTGTAAGAAAAACATTAATATATAGGAATTCAAGTTGTGGCAAAATTTAAGCTTACATTCTCAATAAACCACAGAGTTAGATGGATCAGTGGATCCAGTGATGTGACTAGTTTCTGTGGCTTCCATATGCCCATTTATTATATGAATATTTAAAATCTGTGTTTGTTGTTGGAAGTTTAAAAACCTTAGACGATGCTTTAATGAATCTTGTATCCTGCGAAGAGAAGAGAGGAAATTTTCAAAAGCCAGCACAAACAAACATGAATGTTATAATTGTTTATAGAGGAGTGAATCACATTCTTTTATGCTGTCAGCATTCTATCAGTAAATAATGAATTTAAGTCACACTCTCCTGGGGATATAACAAAAAGCCTGCTGTTGAAATGCAAGGCTGTTTCATTTACAGATATAGAAATATATATTCTCTTAGGAATAAGTGATTCTCTTTCCCATTTTTCCTACCCCAATAAGAGAGGTAAGATATCTGAGGTTATATGCACTGATATACTTGTGAGAAATGACATTTTAATGCATACGATCTTAAAGAGTTTTTCTACATTAGATCGAAATAGGTGCATTTAATTTGTGATCATTTCAATTATCATGCCCTAAATGCATGCATTTAACTGAAGTATCCGAGTGGTGTGAAGCAGGAAAATTGTAGCTTCTTGAAATCTCTGTTGTGTTCAGATAGCTGGTTTGGATTGATTAGGAAAATTAAGGAAACCAGACAGGCAATTTTCCAGAACATATTCTGTGTCTTTTGAGGTGAGTTGATGGCCCTCCTTTTCCCTGCCACTTCACGGCACTACTGAGGGTGATTTCATATGATGCAGCACGGTTCCCTTTTAAGATGACAGGGTAGAAAATAGCTACGGGACTTGGACTGCCAAAGCCCTCAAGACCTCTTCAGCATGTCCAATAAACACACAGATCAGTGGACCAAGAGATAATACACAGGAGTCTCCAGCACAGACAGACCATTGTGGATTTCATGGTGGGATCTTAAAAGGACAGAAATATTGTAGTGACTAAGAATTTGCCTGATCGTGTACCTCAGAACAAATGCAATTAAAAAAACACTGAAAACTTTTAAGAATTGGATATATTTGGAGTGTTCTGGAAGGCTTTTGTTGACTTTCTCTTTGGGAAATGTAAGTTTAGTTAATTTTTTTTTTTCCATGAAAATCCTCCAATGGAAAAATAGAAAAATAAGTAGTAGCTGTCAATGTGCCTGGGATCCCTTTGCCTCATACACATGTTCAAGGCCAGTCTATCTGTTTCTCCCACTTCCTCAACTTCTTATACATAAATTATACATGGGGAGGTGTTTCTTTTCATTTGTAACATACATATTCTTTTGTTATTTCCTGGTATAGTTTAATTTATTTAACAAATATTCTATTAATTTGCTCATTTTATTATTATCTTAGTTCTAGAGTCTTTATATTTAAAATATGATAGTCCAACTCCCTGGAGAAATAAAGACCCAAAGAGGAAGGATATTTCAAAATGACATCACTGATAATGGAGATTCTAGGACTAGGTCTCAAGTTTTCTTATTTCCATGATGAGAAGTCTGAATACCTAGGTTCAGGGTCCAGGTCTGTTTTTCGTATCTCTATGTCTTTGTTCTGCATTTATAAATAAGGATGGTAGCAGTTGTTTTGCATACTTACAAAAATGTAGAGAATGATAAGATATGATGGTGCTGTGACAGTATTGAGTAATGGCAAGTGGTGGTTAGGTGTTTGCAATATTTAAAAACAAAAAGGGATAAGATCATGGTACCTGGACAGTCCTGCTTTCCCCCAGGCTGCTGCACTGAATTGAATAACTTCAAGGAATTTTCTCTAGTACAGCCTTGTGATCTGAATTAGACACCAGATTTTTCAAGTAAAAGGATGAAAATAAATTTGTTTGTCTTGGCAAATTCATATTACTTAGTCTCAGTGGCAAAGTTAAAGATTTTCAGCTTAGAAATGGAACTCTTAACTGTCATCTAATTTGGAATACCCACATTAGTAATACTGGCTTATTCTCCCTCTAGGTAAAACCATACAGGAAATGAAATTACAATCCCATGATTTCCTAGTAGTCTTGGAGTCAGAATTAAGAGAGTAGTGCTTTGGAAGAATTATCTTATGGAATATTTACAGCTATCCTAGGCAGAGAACATCTTTATTATACTTATTTGGCAGAAAAGGAAGAAAGGTTTAGGAAGACTGGTTGTTTGCCACAACTCAAGTCATATTTCTCATGCCCAGCCTGCCTGTTTACTGATCTCCAACCACTGTGTGCTTCTACCAGTTCAAATAGGCCAGCATCCCCTCAATTCTAAGCCCTTTCACTCACTATTCTCTCTGCTCGGAATGCCCTTCTCCTGAAGGCCCTCATAGTTATCTCCTTTTCTTTCCAGTGTTGACTTCATAATCACTCATGGAGATTTTCCTAGCACATATTTAAGATTTCCAATATAACCCCATCTAACATTTTATATACCCCAAATGTACTTTATTCTTTTCTTATTAGCAGCAAAAATGGTATATAATTCACTTACACATTATTTTATTGGGTGTATCTCCTACTAGAAAGTATACTTCATGAAGATCTTTATTCATTTTGCACACTACTGTATCTCCAATAGACCCTACCTGACTCTGTGAAAGCTCAATAATTATTTATTGAGTGATTGAATGAAACTAGTGCCTAAAGGGATGGCTTGAGCGAGGAAACCATCCAGGACATTAAACATTATTCACTCCCTCTGTGAACAGTACAAAGGGCCAGTATTACTGACATTGCTGCTGTAACCCTCCTCAGGCTATGACCCTTCCATTACTGACTAATTTACCCCCAAATTAATGCATTTTTTTCTTTCACTTTCAGTCTTCTCTTGTAATTTGAGAATTAGCCTTTAACAGTATGGTTTCACAGGAAGTTCTATCAGGAGAAATTAACAATGAAGGCAAAACAACACAGTAAAATTACTTAAAAGAGAAAGAACATTTTTGTATGAAATTATTTAAAATATGGGATTTTTGCATCCTGAAATTGACAATGAATTTATTTCATCTCATATTTAACAAAGTATCTCATAATTGTCACTATGTTCTCTCTTTTCAAAGAAAAATTAAATTATATTTTCTATAAAAATATGTGATAATGATATGACATAATAGAATTGTTTACTTTATTTGGATTTTGTCAATGTGACCACAGAGATTCATTTTTATAAAAGCATTTGTGAGTTTAGTTGATTTTTTCAAAGTCTTGTCTTAATCTTTTAATGTCTTAATACTTTCCATTTGGAATGCTTTGTGTTATTATCCCCATTGACTTCATGTTTTTCTCTTTTTAACTTTTAACTTACCTAACTGCTGGATCTTCATCTCTGATATCATGTTCAAACATTTCATGAAATCCTTCACTTATTTTTATTGTTTCACTGTTATTAATAGATGCTGGTCAGAATCAACCAGAGACTGAGTCATGAAGCTAAAGGTTAGACAAATAAGATAATAGCAGAATTAAGGAAAGAGGGAGGTTTTAAATATATTAGTAAGAAAAGTTGTTAAGGTTGTTAAGATTTTTTTTTTTCTATGCAATTTCAAAGCATAGAATCAGTTGTTGAAGGTTTTAAAACTGTAGTTCCCCTAGTGATTCCTTATGAAATGTTTAAAGGGCAACTTACTTTTACTGTTATTTTATTCAAGAGTGATTCTCATGTACTGAGCTGCTACTATGTGCCAGGTGCTATGCTAGGAGCTATATGTGTACATTACTCTTTTTTTTTTTTTTTTTTTTTTTTAAGAAAATCATGTTTTACTGTCTGGTCCTCCATCACGTCCGCACAGCGCTGTCTGAGGAGTAATGCCCGCTCTGCCTCCTGACTGCAGGGAATGTCAGGGGCAGCCTTGTAGCCCAGGCCTGCTGCAGGTCTAGTGTCAGCAACCAGGTGGCCTCCTCTGCCACATAAAGTGCTTGAACAGAGCCGCGGTGCCTCGGAGGACTGGGCCTGTTCTGTAGGGAGCTAGAGGCAAAGCCAGCTCCTGCCCGGAAAGCCATAGCAGTGCCACTGCCTCGGGCCAGCGCTCACCCATAACCCCAGGCTGCAAGAACCACAGAGTTGACCCAGCCAAGAACAGACCCGGGAGCTACTGGGCTGTGTGGGCAAACAGATCCTGCACATGACACACAGGAGCTGTGGGCAACCCTGAGTACTTGTGGAGCGCAGACTCGATCAGATTCCAGAACTTTCTCTGGGGTGATGTGACAGCCATTTCTCCCTCCTCCTCTCTGTTCTTTGATGGGGTAGGCATCACTGGTCCAACTCACTAGCAAGGCCCTGCTCGTAATCTTCCACATACTTATATTTCTTCTCCCGATAGTACAATCTTTTCTTCATGCAGTAGAGGACTATGATGTCACACAGCACGGTCGCCATGCCCAGCAGCGCCAGGCCAGAGCCAATGTTGATCATGGTAGGGATGACATCAAATTTCCCTGCCTTCCCAAACACGATGATGTCGAAGCGGATGCCATAGGCCTTGATGAGTGTGCGCTGCTCGTTGCCAGCCAGGTCTTTGTAGTACTTGGCAAACCTGAAATTGTAGCCAGGAGACACGTTGTGGTCGACGTCCCGTGTATCCAGGCTTTTGTAATCAGAAATTTAGTAATCAGAAAACCGAATCTCAATACTCAGTCACCAAATGATAGACATTCTCTCAAAGCCACACAAGCTTGCAGCTCTTCCAACACAAGGTTAATAGATGACGCTACTAATAGGATTTTTTTCTTCTTCTTCCGTTCTTTTTTTTTTTTTTTTTTTTTTTTTTTTTTTTTTTTTTTTTAGCTCTATGTAAGGTTGCTCCATCAAATCATTTTTTTCATTAGCTGGGCAAAAATTTCCTTTAAAATTTCAACTGGTCTGCGCTTTGCCAAAGACCAGTTTTTAACAGCTGAGAGTAATAAAATAGCAATGGATTTGACCCTGGCACCTTTGCTTTCAAGTCTGAGTGATTTAACCTCTCAGTCTCAGTTTACTTCTCCATAAACTGAGGATAAGAACCTCATGATGAGACTTTCAACGAAACTCAGAGAGAAAAAGAATTGTGTAAAACTGACATGGCAAGGTTATGTAAGTCATTATGTGACAATCTAGACAAAACATCTTAACCTGAAAGTGAAAATTTACTTGAAAATCACATACCCTAGTCTACCTACCTGATAAGATTGACTGTTCATTGTTTGATAAGTTGAAGAATATTAAAATAATATAAATAGTAACATGAATTGGGCTGTTTTACCTGCAAGCAACAGATAACTGCAAAATCAAACTTTTTTTTTTTTTTTTTTTTTTGGAAAAGGGGGATATTTGTTATTCTTTATAGCAATAATTAAGATGGGCAGAGTATGCCAGGACTCTGCTTCTGATACACATGGATCCTGCGGACTAACCTTCTCTATTTTAGGCTTCACTTTCTGTCTGGGAGCAGGATGGCCACACGAATTCCAGGAATCACACTTAGCCACAAACATCAGGCAGGCATGTTCTTGCCTCAGGGCTTTTGTAACTACTGTTCCTTCTGCCGGAGATAGGCTTCCCTTGTGATTAATTTCTCCACTATAGTCAGATCTCTGTCTGAAACCTACTCCACTGACAAATGTAATGGCTTTTTTGCCCACATGGGTACTTTTTGGCACACCAAAGATTATTCAGACATTCAGTCAATTTTAAAATAAATATTCAATTTACTAAAGTTACTGCTCTTTAAAAATCACATTCTTAATAAGTTTGACATATATTTTATGATGAGTTTATTTATAAAGCTAGTAATTATAAAAATTGCCTTTAAGGAAACTTTAATATTTGCTCCCATCTATAATCTTAGTTATGTTCCATTAAATATTTAAGGTATATTTACAAATTTAATATATTTAATTTGCTCCCAGGTACTATATTTGTTTATCTCAAATGACAAACGTTCTCAAAGTAAAGTGAGAATTCTGATATATATTGAGGTTTACATGTTAAATAAGTCAGAGAGTAGATCTGTCTAATATACTGTTCTCTTTAACATTACTTGTATTACCAAATATGCCTAGATTTTTAAATATAAAATATAAACATAATGGGCTTTATTTTCTTGTTCCAAATATTTCTAAAATTAATTATAAATTTGTTGAGAGTTAGAGATGGTTATGCAATAAGGAAACAATTATATAATATTACACAATCTCCAAGTATACCTTTCCAAGTAGTTTTTGAGGTTGCGTTCTCAGCTTGGAAGCTTGAAGTAACCGAAATTTAATAAAATCTGTTCACATCCCACAATTCATGAGGCAGAGGAAAATGTGGGCATATATGCCATGGCTTTTTTTTGAGGAATTTCAATGTTAATTTTTAAGTGAGATTAAAATATCACTTAAAACCTCCATCACAATGGTTAGATTATTTGAGTTTTCCTTTTCTCTACTACATGATATATACACATAACTTTGCTATGTAAATATGAAGATAACTGGACATAAAAGTATCCTACATTCTTTTCATATATTCTTGTCTCTTAGGATCATACAGAAATTATAGTTATTAAAATAATACCCAATTGTGTTCTAGTCCCACCCCCCTCCAGCTTTTTATCACAATTTCTATGTCTACTTAATATGCAGGCCTTTGCTGATCACATATATTGACATAGGGTCCTTTTTCCACATGTCTTTTTATCACTTTGCTTGGCTTTATTTTTCTTCATGACACTTCTCATGGCCTGAGGTATTATTTATTGACTTATTTATGTTTGCTGCATTTGTTTCTTTCTTCTAAAATATGAGCTTTAGGAAGCATAGTGACTTGGATTTCCTCCTGTATCTCCAATTCCCTGAAGAGTGCCTGGCATATAGGGGTCAATCAAAAATAATTGTTGAAAAGATGAATGAATAAAACGGGTCAGATGTGCTTCCCATGCCTATTCATAAGTGAATGTATTGGTAGAGGGAATCACATTGCCATGACTATCTTAGATTAGAATGTATTCTAGAGCTGTAGATGATTTTAATTCCCCATTATGTGGGTGAATGACAGGTCCCAAAACATAATCATGGTTCTGTAGGTAAATAACTAAGAATGGTCTAACGTGATTCTAACAACCAGATTTGGGGAGGTAGAAAAAGGAGGTAGAATTTGTTTTAGGGTAGCAAACAGACATACATTTGAGTTAGAGGAAGAGATTTCTCATGCTAAAAATGTTGGCATATCCCAGACAGCCTCACAGAAGAAACCTCATGACTGATTTTACCATGCCATCTGTACTAGAGAATGTAGTTAAGATGCCTCTTAGCCCAATCTTGTAGCTTACATCACAGAGATTTAAAAAAAAAATTAAAACCTTAATTATTTTTACTAGAAATGTAGAAGAAAACCATTCTTATTTTATGTACTGGTTATTTCACGAGATCTTTTTCTTAAACTATAATAAAGAATATAATTTTCTATTGATAAGTCTTCTTCAATGGAATCTTTAATAGCTTAAATACTATAATGTATAAAGCACTCCATCTCACTTTCAAAGACATTGGTAATTCTATACTGAATAAAAGATTGCTAAGTAATGTAAATGATCAAACTGGCTAATAGAGAGCATTAACTGCCTCAAAAAATCCCTGCAAAAATCAGATAGATGCTATGTTACCCAACACAATATCCATATCATGCTGGCTTTGCAAGCAGTTGTTTGAGTGAGCTGTTCAATATAGAACACTGGCTTGGATAGTTTTACCATATTCTTGCTTTATTCAACAGCACCCAAATGCATAAAATTCCTCTGTTGTAAGTCACCTCATCTATCCTTCTCACACAGTTATTAATACTTAGATTAATAACAACATTAACACAATTATTATCCCAAATTATGCAATTAGATAGATGTCATATAGTTCAGACTGGAGACAAACAACAAAGGGGAATTGAATTTAAAAGGCTTAAAATCATTGACTTTTTCATTAAAATACTGGAAAAGGGACAAAAATTTATGTTGATCAACACATTGTCTCTGAGAACAGATATATATGAAAATGAACTTTCATGGTAAGAGTTAAAGGAAACTTTATAGTTTTGATTTCAAAAGGAGCCTTATAAAATAAAGTAACTTTATTCTTTTGATAATCAGAAAGCTGTATTTCAGATACAACTTTAAAGGACTTACATACAGTCACATAAGGAAGGGTCTGAAGGAGAAGTGTGATCTTGGCTTCTAATCTAGTGCTCCTGCCTCCATAATATGCTTGGTAGAAATCCATGGTAAAAACAAAATCGACCTGAAAAATAGGTACATATGTGGACCTCTCTCCCAGTAAAGAGCTTTCCTTTACTTTGACTAAGTGTAAATTATGGTAACTTATTAATTCAACAAATATTTATTAAATGATGCCTGTGAGAACTACTCACAGTCATCATGAATAGAACAATTATTCAAAAAGACAAAAATTTCTCTCTCTTGTTCCCTACAACTGTGTGTTTTATTTGAAAGAGCACATATAATCCTATTGAAATGTAAACTTCACTTAAGTGTGATAACTACATGTCTACCAAGAAGATATGTAGGAAACGATAAATATCAATGCAAGTATCACTGAGTAACAATTAGATGTTCATTATTTAAATGACCATAGAAGAGATAGTAAAGAAGTTTAATTACTTGCTAATAAGACATGAACTCCTTAGATTAGACCAGGCATCCCCATACTTTTTACACAGAGGGCTAGTTCACTGTCCCTCAGACCATTGGAGGGCCACCACATACCGTGCTCCTCTCACTGACCACCAATGAAACAGGTGCCCCTTCCTGAAGTGTGGTGGGGGGCTGGATAAGTGGCCTCAAGGGGTCGCATGCAGCCCGCGGGCCGTAGTTTGGGGACGCCTTGATTAGACAGTCATTTTGTGTACCTAAATATAAGAAATTAAAGGAAAGATAAATGATATGACCTTTTCAGAGTGAAAGGACTGTAGCAACTAAGAGATCTCCTTTACTCGGCTTCATTGGGAAATAGTAGCTTTCACGTATTTGAATTTCCTAGGTCAAGAGATGCATTCATTCATTAATTTGACAAATATTTGTGGAGCACTTCCTATTTGTGAATTCCTATTCAAGGGACAGAGATAAAGGAGAATACAAGATAGTGGTGCCCTGGGTAGTCGTGCGCTTAATAGATAAACAAACACATAGATGTGATCAGGACAAGTGAAGAAAATTAATGGTGATAAGCATTTAGGGAGAGCCTGAGATAGGCACTATTTTAAACAGTTTGGTCATATAATTATTCTTCTCAGAATCAAAATACACTTTTTAATGAGTACTTTACAAATATATTCCAAATACATAGAACATTTTTGTAAGGATTGGCCCAATATGAATGTTTCAAAAACATAGGTAATCTTAATATTAATCTGCAATAAGAATGCAATTTATTCATAGCCATTTAATAAATGTATTAACAAAATAAAATGTATATGTTGCAAACAGAATATTCCATCTGAAAAAAGAAATATTCATATTGTCTTCTTACATCAAGGCTATACCCCTAATATTCCAACAATGGTTTTTATTGCTCCAGAAGTTGAGTATTGTCCAAAACACTTTTCTTGGTTTAGTCC